ATTCATTGTCTAGCTTTCGCATGCATATGAGGCAATTGAAAATACCATGGCTTGGGTCAGGTGCACCTTAGTCCTCAAAGTGACATCTTTGCTTTTTAACGCTTTAAAGAGGCCTTCTGCAGCAGATTTGCCCAATGCAATACATCGTTGGATTTCTCGACTGCTGCTTCCATGGGTGCTGCTGATTGTGGATCCAAAAAAAACCAAAGAACCAAACCTGTTGCCACCAAGTCGATTCCGACTCATAGCGACCCTGAAGGACAGAGTAGAACTGCCCCATAAGGGTTCCAAGGAGCAGCTGGTGGATTCGAACTGTCAACCTTTTGGATAGCAGCTGAGCTCTTAACCACTGCACCACCACGGTGGATTCAAGCAAAATAAAATCCTTGACTACTTCAATCTTTTCTCTGTTTATCATGATGTTGCTTATTGGTCCAGTTGTGAGGATTTTTGTTTTCATTATGTTGAGTTGTAATCCATACTGAAGGCTGTGGTCTTTGATCTTCATCAGTAAGTGCTTCAAGTCCCCTTCACTTTCAGCAGACAAAGTTGTGTCATCTGCGTAATGCAGGTTGTTAATGAGTCTTCCTCCAATCCTGATGTCATGTTCTTCTTCATGTAGTCCAGCTTCTCGAATTATTTACTCAGCATACAGATTGAATAAGTATGGTGAAAGGATACAACCCTAACACACATCTTTCCTGACTTTAAACCACATAGTATACCCTTGTTCTGTTCAAATGACTGCCTCTTGGTCTATGTACAGGTTCTGCCTGAGTACAATTAAGTGTTCTGGAATTTATATTCTTCGCTATGTTATCCGTAATTTGTTATGACCCACACAGTTGAATGCCTTTACATAGTCAATAAAACACAGGTAAACATCTTTCTGGTATTCTCTGCTTTCAGCCAAGATTCATCTGACATCAGCAATGGTATTTCTCATTCCACGTCCTCTTCTGAATCCAGTTTGATTTTCTGGCAATTCCCTGTCAATGTACTGCTGCAAGCATTTTTGAATTAACTTCAGCAAAATTCTACTTGCGTGTAATATTAATGATATTGTTTGATAATGTCCGCTTTCTGTTGGATCACCTTTCTTTACAATAGGCAAGAATATGGATCTCTTCCAGTCAGTTGGCCAGGTCTTCCAAATTTCTTGGCAAAGACAAATGAGTGAGTCCAGCTTTGCATTCGTTCATTGAAACATCTCAGTTGGTATTACATCAATTCCTGGAGCCTTGTTTTTCGCCAATGCCTTCAGTGCAGCTTGGGCTTCTTCCTTCAATACCATCAGTTCTTGATCATATGCTACCTCCACACATGGTTGAACATTAACCAATTCTCTTTGGTACAGTGACTCTGTGTATTCCTTTTATCTTCTTTTGATGCTTTCTGTGTCATTCAATATTTTACCTATAATCCGTTACCACTGAGTCAATTCCAACTCATAGCAACCTTATAGGACAGAGTAGAACTGCCCCCATTGGGTTTCCAAGGAGCGGCTAGTGAATTTGAACTGCTGATCTTTTGGTTAGCAGCCGAGTTCTTAACCACTGTGCCACCAGGGGTCCATTTTTATAGAATCTTTCAATATTGCAACTTGCAGCTTGAATTTTGTCTTCAATTCTTGTAACTTGAGAAATGCCCCGAGTATGTTCTTCCCTTTTGGTTTTCTAACGCCAGGTCTTTGCACATTTCATTATAATACTTTACTTTGTCTTCTCCAGCTGCTCTTTGAAATCTTCTGTGCAGCTCTTTTACTTCATCATTTCTTCCATTTGCTTTAGCTACTTTACATTCAAGAGCAAGTTTCAGAGTCTTGATACATGCTACAATATGGATGGAACTTGAAGACATTATGCTAAGTGAAATAAGTCAATCAGAAAAGGACAAATAGTGTATGACTTCCCTCATATAAAAAGACAGAAACAGGCAAGTGTACAGAGACCAAAGTTTATTAGTGGTTACCTGGCGGGCGGGAGGGGGAAAGGGAGGATCATTGCTATGGAGGACTGAGTTTTGCTTTATGGTGAGAGAAAAATTGCATCAGTTAAGGGTAGGGCTGCACAGCTGATTAATGTACTTGCTGTCAATAAGTTGTCCACCTGTAAAAAGTTGAATTGGCAAAAGCTGTGTGACAGACATATTTACAACAATGACAAAAAGAAAAAAAGAGTAGCTGCTGAGGTTACTTATGTACAACCAAACACCTCATGGGATTCGGTTCCTTGGTATGGAGGTTTAGGATCATGATATCATGGAACATCCCAGTTAATAGGCCTAATAACATGTTTAGTGCTTCTGTTCTACCTCCCTGTTTGTTGCATAGTGCCTGGGGTCTTAAAAGATTGCAAGCAGCCATCCAAGGTACAACAATTGGTTTCTATTCACCTGGAGCAACAGAGGAAGAAGGAGAGAAAGGAATAGGAGGAGGATGGAAAGTGAGGCTAATTGCCTCCATGAACAACTACCTCCTCTCCCATGAGACCAGAAGAACTGGAAGGCGCCTGGCTACCATTATTGAACATTTTGATGAAACATTCCATAGAAGAATCCTGATCAAAAGGAGGAAAATGCACAACAGAATTTCAAATTCTCATGGACTCTAAATTGTCTGGAGCCATAGAGGCTGGATGAACCCCTGAAACTATTGCCCTGAGATACTCTCTAAACCTTAAATGCAAAGTATCCCCTGAAGTCTTAAAACCAAGCAATAGTTTATCTTAACTAGTAAAGAATGTCTGCCTTGAGCATTGTGCTCTTTTAAGATGTTTATATAGGATCAAACTGACAACAGCAACTCGAAAGATTAGATAGAAAACTTACGGGGCAGTGAGTTTATGTTAATAGAGGAGGAACAACTCAGAAAAGGAGGGTGAGAATGGTTGCACAACTCAAAGAATGTAATCAGTGTCACTGAATTGTACATGTAGAAACTGTTGAATTGGTGTGTGTTCTGCTGTGTATATTCTCAACAACAAAAATAAAATAAATTATAAAAAGAAAATCCTATGGATTAATACGGTCTGATCCGCAACCAATCATGGGGATGACACAGGACTGACCAGTGTTTTGTTCCATTGTGCATGGGATCACCGTGAGGGGGGATCCTGTTGCTGTCGAGTCGATTCCGACTTATAGCGACCCTATCGGACAGAGTGGAACTGCCTCATAGGGTTTCCAAGGAGCACCTGGTGGATTCGAACTGCTGACTTCTTGGTTAGCAGCCAAGCTCTTAACCACTACTCCACTAGGTTGATGAGGGAGAGGGGGGTCAACTCCAAGGCAGCTAACAACAACCATTACTAATTTTACTGTTGTAGGCTGGTACGCTGGCAACAAGGAGCATAGAAGCTTTTACAGAAAACTATTCAGAGAGCATTTATGTAGCACCTCCTGTGTACTCAGCCCTAGGGGAGGAGACAGCAGCAGCCTCAGTCCTTACCCTGGGGAATGGGGCTCACAGGTCAGAGAGACATTTACAGGGCAGCAGGCTGCAGAGGGTCAAAGGGTAAAGAGGAATGAGCTTCTCCTCAAGCAGAACCTGGACAAGCTGGAAAAGTGTCCGGGGGTCTACTGGAGCCCACCCAATACCCAGGCCCTCCCTGTCACAGGGGCCTGGAGGAAGCTGGCTGACTAGTCAAAGGGTCAGTCTCAGACCCTGCCTCTGGCTGAAGGCTGGGAGCCTGGCCCCAGACCTCAACCTCCCCCTATGGCCCATCCCCCCCCCCACCCCCCGCCCCAAGGCCCCAGGATTCCAGCAGCTGTGATCCGCCCAATGTCCAAGTTTCTCTCCAGCTCACTCTGGCTTTCAGCCTCAGCAAAGCCCTTCTCTCACTGACCCCCTAACAAGCCTACCTCTAGGCTTCACTCATGGAGCTCAAGGTCTGTCCAAGGTCATTACTAACTGGACTCCTTAGTCTGCAGAGCAGCAGCGGATGCCCTTCGGCCCTCTGGACTTTGAATCCTTTTTAATGTAACATTTATAGACCACTAAGTGCCAGGCCTGTCCTTCACCTGATCTTCTCATTTAATCCCCACAGAACCCTGGGAGGTCAGGACTATTATCAACCCCGTTTTACAGACGAGGGAATGGTGATGCTTGGGTTGCTCACCATTTCTGTGCATCCTGTTGTCTCCGAAGCCAGACTGTGAGCTTCACTAAGAATATAAATCGGGGCAGTGTCTTTGCCCTCCCCCAGGGTGTGGCACACAGTAGGTAATCAACGCTCACGAGACAGTGTCCCCAGCTCCACCAGGAGGCCTCTCCAACCCTCCCCAAGACGTCTTCACTACAACCTATGGTCAAAACAGCAGTTGCCATTTATTGAGCACCTACTGTGTGCCAGGCTCTGGGATCTGGTGCCATTTACAGTAGGGACTGTGGTCTCCATTTTACATAGAGGCAACTGAGGCTCAGAGAGACTGATGCACCCCAGATCCACACCCCTATCCGTCTGGCACCCAAGGGCAGGATTCTAACCGCCCCCTCAACCAGACCCGTCCCAGTACTCCTGAGTCCCACTTCTGGGCCGAGTCCCCCGACCAGGTCCTTCTCTCTTTCAACCTGATACCCTTGTGCACCTCCCCGCGGCGGCCTGATTCTCTCAGTGCCTCTCGGAGGCTCCTTTAATTGTTCTACTCGTTACTATCCTGACGCCTTCCCCCATCCACATTTGCCCCAGGGGCCTCAGAAGAAATGGTGGCGAGAAGAAGAAGCATAGTCTGGAGGAATACAAGATCAGTCTGCCATGATCCAGGCCCCTAGACCACGGGCGCCAGGCGGGAGAACCCAGACCCTCAATACAGGGCGGGCTTCCCGCCTTGGGCGCAGTTCCGCGAGCAGCCACCAGATGGCTCTCGGCTCGCTCGGGCGGGCCCTGCAGAGAGGGTGTACCGCCACGAGATGGCGACCGAGGCCGCGGCTCCGCTGGTCGTGCCCGGACAGGGCGGAGCCCCGCGGGTTGGCGGGTCCAACTCCGGTCCCCGAGGCCCCGATGCACGTGACCTGGCCGCTGCCGCCTCCTGCCCGCGCCATGACCCAGCCCGTGCCCCGGTTCTCTGTGCCCACTGCGCTGGCCCTGGGCTCGGCCGCACTGGGAGCTGCCTTCGCCACCGGCCTCTTCCTGGGTGAGCACGGCCGGGCCTGCGGGACCCCGGCCAGAGCTCCCGCGGGCGGGGCGGGGCGGAGCGGGCGCGGTGGGAGGGCGCAGGAACAGAGCACTCGAATTCGCCGGGCTGGTGGGGCTGAGGTTAACCCCTGGCGCTCCGGAGGCCCAGACCGTGACCTAGGACTGCCGTCTCCCTCTCCTCCGCAGGGAGGCGGTACCCCCCATGGCAGTCCCGGCCAGAGAAGCGCCTGCTGCCCCCAGAGGACAGCCCCCTTTGGCAGTACCTGTTGAGCCGCTCCATGCGGGAGCACCCGGCGTTGCGGAACCTGCGGCTGGTCAGCAGGGCCGGGGCGAGAACTGGGATTGACCTTGGGCCTGGCGGGCCCCACGTGGCCGGGCGACCTTGGGCTGGACTGTGGCCCTCTCTGGGCTTCCTGGTTTCCCGGGCTGGGCGCGGTGGGTGGTCACTGAGGACCTGTCCCCCTCACCGGCCACGCCCACAGCCGCGCCCCTGGGGGGCTTCAGAACCTGGGACGTGGGTGGGTGACTGGCTGGGCAGGTGCAACCCCCTCTTTCCACACACAGCTGACCCTGGAGCAACCGCAGGGGGATTCCATGATGACCTGTGAGCAGGCCCAGCTTCTGGCCAACCTGGCGCGGCTCATCAAGGCCAAGAAGGCGCTGGACCTAGGTAGGGGTGCATGTGATGGGAATTACTGGGGGACAGGGTCACTGGACCGCCCCCCACCCTGGTATGAGCCTGTCCATGCACCGTCCCCAGGCACTTTCACGGGCTACTCGGCACTGGCACTGGCCCTGGCGCTGCCCCCGGCGGGACGCGTGGTGACCTGCGAGGTGGACCCGGGTCCCCCGGAGCTGGGGCGGCCCTTGTGGAGGCAGGTGAGTATTCCACACACTTGATGCCCCCGTTGGGCTCCTGGAACCCTGCCTCATTGTGTGCCCCCTCCTTCTGCAGGCTGAGGAGGAGCACAAGATCGACCTTCAGTTGCAGCCCGCGCTGGAGACTCTGAGTGAGTCCTGGAGCTGGAAGGGCCTTGGCTCCATTTCCCAAGTGGGGACACTGAGGCGCGAGCTAGTGGCCAGGTCTGCGGGGGTGGGGGAGCAGGAGGGGAAGGGGGTTAAAGAGCTTGGGCGCTGACAGCCCCCTCTCGCCACCCGGCCTCATGGTATTCAGCCACGTCATAGTGGCAGGCCAGGCACCCTCGAGGTGGAAGTCCCTAGGGGCCGGCCCCAGCCTGGTGCCGTCCATCACAGCGCCTGGGCCGGCTGGCAGGGCGACTAGGGTCTGCGCTTCGGACTCAACCGCATCTGCCCCCCTCCCCTTCCACCTCTGAAAGATGAACTCCTGGCTGCGGGCGAAGCCGGCACCTTCGACGTAGCGGTGGTGGACGCGGACAAGGAAAACTGCGCTGCCTACTACGAGCGGTGCCTGCAGCTGCTGCGACCCGGAGGTGTTCTCGCCATCCCTAGTGTAAGGGAAGAGGCGGGGGAGAAAGGACCCTCTCCAGGCTGGATCCCCGTCGTTTCCCTTGGCCCCTCCCTACGCCCCTCCTCCTTGTCCCAAAGCCCACCCTGTACCTTCCTGTGAGTACCCAAGCCGGGGTTCCCAGGCTTTCTCGGATCCGGTCCTGAGGCCCCGCCTTCCACAGCCTGGTTGGCTCCACCCCTGTCTATGCCGGCCCCAACGCAGGTCCTGTGGCACGGAGAGGTGTTGCGGCCTCAGCAGAGGGACATGGTGGCCCAATGCGTGCGAAACCTGAACGAGCGTATCCTGCGGGACGCAAGAGTCCACATCAGTCTCCTGCCCCTGGGTGACGGCCTCACCTTGGCCTTCAAGATCTAGGGCTGGCCCCTAGAGAATGACCTCGAGGGAAAGGACTTGGGACACCGGCCATCCGCCCTGAATTTTAAACCAATAAAGTGGGGTCTGGGACACATTATCTCCCGAGCCTCCGTATATGGCACTGAAGTGGGGGAGAGAAGGCCTAATGCAGGCAGCTTCTTGAGCAAAAGGTGGCCTTGAGGTCACAGATGTTCATCCCTCCCGCCCACCCCCCATGTTGTTAGTTGCCGTCCAGTGGATTCTAACTCATGGCCACCCCATGTGTAAAGAGTAGAATTGCTCCATAGGGTTTCCAAGGCTGTGTCAGAAACAAATCGCCAGGCCTGCCTCCCGCTGTGCCTCTGGGTGGGTTAGAACTCCCAGCCTTTTGGCTAGTAGTTGAGGGTTTAACCATTTGTGCCACCGAGGGGCTTTGACAAGTTATAATTGGCCCAGCCACATCCAGTGGGCAGAGACCCCAGTTTCTCGAGTTTGCCTCCACTCCACGGGATCTGAGGGCTGGATGTAGGGTCTCCCTCCTACATCTCTCTATAAAGGGGGAGGTGAAGTTCCTGTTCAGTGCAGCTAGGACTGGCAGGGATGCCAGATCTGACAACAGGAAGAGGCCCTGTGGGGGATCAGGTATGTCGTGTACTGTAGGCTGTGCTGGTTCTGCTGGCAGTTTGCCCGAGTTTTCACAGAACTGTCATCTCAGCCTCACCTCTACAGTGGACATCACCTCTGAGAATCAGGCCACTTGACCTAGACTGGAGGACCTGACTTGAGTATGTTTTCTGCCCTCCTCCTGACATCCTGGAAGGAGAGGGGCTGGTTGAGATCACTGGCCAGGGAGGTGTGAAGCAGGTGCATATAGGTAGCAGACCATCAATATGGCCATTATTAGCAAGTTCCCCAGAGGATGATAACAGTCTTAGGCTTTCCAGCATCATTGTCCACGAGGGGAGGTGGAGAGGGAACCAGGCTTTATTGAGCACCTTCATACCAGGTGCTTTGTTTCTCATTTACATCTCCATGAGCACTACCATCCGAATATTTTAATCTGAATGTCACAGATGAAGGTCAGGTTCAGATACTGCATTCTTTCCACTAACTCAGGCAGAAATGGCATCAGCCTGAAATACAAGTAGGTTTTGCCACCCCTGGTTAGGTCTGAAAGGTCCCTCAGTGGCACAATGCTCGACTGCTAACAAAGGTTGGCACCTGGAAGACATGCCTAGCAGCACTGCATTAAAAAGGCCTGGCAATCTGCTTCCATAAAGATTACAGCCAAGAAAACCCTGTGGAGCAGTTCTACTCCATAACACATGGGGTTGCCACGAGTTAGAACCGACTTGACGGCAACGGACTTGGTTTTTGGTTAGACCTGGGTAGTGGAAGTGCACCTGGAGGCTACTGCAAGCAAGCCCAGGAGCAGCATGAGCCCACAACTGGTGACTTTCACGATCTCATAGCTCCTGGGATATGCCTTGGGTTATGGACAATCCTAAAGGCCCACCATCAATCCTCTCCCCCAAACTCATGAAAGGGTGTTAGGATACACATGGGTGAATTAGTTCCTCAACAAACTGGTAGCTCACTGTGCCACCTCTTAACAGAAAGCCGCACTTAGTCCCGAGTACTGGACCAGGTGAACTCCAGCCCTTCAGGTGTAAACCTCAGCATGAGGGAGGGCCACCCCATTATCTAAGGTACAGCAGGCCATCCAAAGGGCTTGCGTCTGTAGCCTCTGTGAGCAGGTGTCCTCCCTGCCTTGCACCAAAAGCAGTTCGTGAGAGCTGTCTTATCTCCCTCCAGGACCTCACGGGGGACAGCAGAAAATATACTCAACACTGAGGTCCTCAGATCTAGGTCAAATGGCCTGGTCCACAGAGGTGATGTCCACTGGCCAGGGCTTCCACACTTTTCTGTACCTGAGTACAAGAGTTGCTTTCACACCTAGCTTGCAGAATCTGTTTCTCTATTTTCTTCGTTACCTTGCAACAGATTGATTTAAATTGGTTCAAATTCCAAAATACTCCCCCTAAGTCATGTGTGTCTGTGGCGGGCCTTAAGGAGAACCAATCTTCTGATTCATGTGGGCCATTCCATCCAGTTCCTTAGGACAAACACCATGGGACAAGGAGGGGCATTTATGCCTCTGGTCCACCTGTGTGGAGGGCTTGCGTGGGGTCTAATCAATCTCTCATCGCATTATTCTCCACCTGGAAATTCTGAGCATCTATCTTTTCTTAGGTGATGATTCCCAAAGTTTACTGGACTCTTGTATTGTTCTCTCTCAAACATCAAACTGTACTGAGGGTCTAGCAGTATGGATTTGTTGAATAATTCCCTCCCCCTTCTCAAACCTCTGATCATACCTTCCAAACTGTGTTCTCCCATCAAAAAACTTTTCTACTTTTCCACCCAAAAATCACTTATCATTAATTCCTATCATTTGTGCCCAAGTCTTCACTCCAGATGAAGGCCAATGGCCAAAGAGCCTGAACGGGGTGCCTCTGGTCTCCTACCTAGGCCAAGCTTTTCAGTCCAGTGTCTGCCTGGAAGGAAATGAGTAATGACCTCTCACTGGTGCCCATACACTCCCCTCTCAGTCCCGCTGGTTACTGACACTGACTACACCTTATGTCAATTCCCTCCATCTAGTCCCGTCTCACCCAACCTGGGCCTAGGACATCTCCCCACTTATCAACAGCAGCAGCACCACGCCTTTATTTTCCTTTCTCGATTTACTCTCCAAGCCTTTCTAGAGTTAACAATGATAAAATGTAATTTTGCATGAACTTACAAATTGAAGAATTATATAAAGGCATGTATCCTTTTATTTTATTAAGAGTCTAAAAAAGCTTATGGAATTACTTGGGGAACGCAGACTGACTCTGTGGCACATTATAGGTAAAGAGCAAAATGCTCACAAGAAAAAAATACTCACTAGATACCAGGGAGACTGGACCCTACCTGGCAAATTTATAATTCTGCAAATACGTGGAGTCATAATTATGTATACTTGTTTTATTCATAATTTGTAATGTTTCGGGATACCAAAAGTATTTCTAATGATGGTTGAATTTAACAAAAATTTTTGACCTCATCTTAAAACATCCACTGATCCATCTCATTCAATGGCAATATCAAATGTTAAAAGGAACATAAAAACAAACATGCACACAATTGCACAGTTTTCATAAAGGTCTATTTCATTATTGGTGGGTTGCGCATTTAACAGTTAAATACATTTAAATAATGTATAGGTGACTGCACGTCTGCAGCACTAGTAACTGTATAGATAACCAATTCAACTAGAAACCAGCTAACAAGTAACTGTCTAAATACTTAAAATACAGCTCTTGTTTAGATCATCCTTTGTTCTGATCACCTTCTTGGGGGAAAAAAAGCCTGCTGGTCACAATGGAAATATATTAAGGCCAAATCTTCTGATATCCATTCCCAGAGGTCTCTTCAGCTGGATTAAGCCTCCAACTCCAGGGCAAGCCCAAGTTTGTGGCCTCCAGCATTAATGCTCTTCCCGTCTACCAGAGCAGACAGTGTAAGCTTCACACCTGTAACAAAAACAGACAACATCATGTGACCCAAACACTTTAGGAGAATCTGCAGTCTTCTCTAATAATCACCCCAGAACGTGCCTGTCGCTTTTCCTCAGCCTGTCGACTGATCTACTAGTGCCAGTCCCCAGAGAGCACCTGGAAATATCTGGGATACCAGACAGAATGCCAAATGCCAGGAGAATCCACAACTCAGTTGGAAAGGCACCATATCCTAGGTAACGTACCAAGTCACAGCATAAATATGTTAGTGATAAACTCAAAATGCTCTAGAAAATATAAGAACATTCAATATATTGTATCCAGACTAAAATAGACATAATCAAATGCCATGTGTGAATCGTGATTGGCTATGAAAAACTACAATAGAGACATTTTGGGAAAATCTGAATATAAACTACACATTAAAGCAAACCCACTGCTGTTGAGTCAAGGCTGACTCATAGAGACCCTAATAGAACAGAGCAGAAATGCTCCATAGGGTTTCCAAGGTTGTAATCTTTAGGGAAGCAGACTGCCACATCTTTCTCCTATGGAATGGCTAGGGGGTTCGAACCACAGACCATTTTGGTTAGCAGCTGAGCACTTAACCACTGCACGACCAGGGCTCTGCACTAGGTATTATTAATGTTAATTTTCTTAGATGTGACAATGGTATGGTGGTTATACAGAAGAATGTCTTAGGATGTGCATGCTAGCTAGGGCTGATGTGTTGACATGTCTACAAAACATGTATTTAAATAATTTTTAAAAAGTAAAAAAATGAATAAAGCCTATGTGTATAGACACAGAAATAAAACAAATTGTGGCAAAATGTTAAATGACTAGCAAGTGTAGGGGAAAGGAGCATGGGTGATCACTGTACTATTCTTTCACCTTTTCTTTACGTTTCGAAATAGTCAAAATAAAAAGTTTGGGGGTGGGGGGAGGATCCCTATTTGGAGAAGAGAAAAGTCCCAATCGCTTTTAAACCTTGCTGTTCAAAGGGTGGTTGGTCCAAGAAAGAGCAACAGTGGCATCCACCACCTGGGAGCTTGTTAGAAATGCAAAACTCAGCACCAGACCTAGTGGGTCAGAATCTGCACTTCAACAAGACTCCCCAGGTAAGTCACGTGCACAATGAAGTTGAAGTACTGCTCCAGAAAAGAGGAAAGACAATAGAGACAGATAACAAAAAGCAATGAGTAAACTCTGGAGAAATAAAAACTACCACTAGACACTTCAAGTAAGAGTGAGGAAACTGAATAAGGAGTGGATATTAAACAGTATTATGGAATTACTGTTCACTTTCTTAGGTGTGATAGCAACACTGTGATTATGCAGGAGAACATCCTTATTCTTAGGAGATGAAGGCTGAAGCATTGAGAGGGAGTGTCATGACAGCTGCCACTTACTTCCAAATGGCCCACCTCCCCCAAAAAAAAACAGGAAAGGAAAAATAACATGGCAAAAAGGAAATGGGTGTTGACTGTATTTTTTTCAACTCTTCTGTATGCTTAAAAGGTTCACAAAATAAGCTGAGAAAATAAAAATAATTTTTAAAGCACTAGCAACACAAATCTTATTTAAGTGTACTCACCAGGCCTCAGAGTCTGCGTATAGCCCACTCCAATTAAACTAGAATTGTTGACTTTTGCCTAAAATAAAATGCAAAAACAACTGTTATGAAAAATTTTTTAATGGAGAGACAAATCCCCTGCACATTTCCCCTACGGTGAAATTACGAAGTGTTCAGCTTTCTTATTCATATGTGAGATAATAAAATTTAATATTGTGTATTAAGCCAAACAAAAACCAGGTACCATTCAGTTCTTACCCATTCAACTCAAAATCAAATTGTTAGTAGGACACAATACTCTAGATAGCCACAGACCCCAAACTGTCCACACAGCACCAGAACCTCAGCACTCCCATAAAAACCATCCTTGCTGAATCCAGTCTAGCACAACAAACCCAAACCAAAATATGGCTGACAGGAAGTCCAACAGGCTCACTAGCTAAGTGACAGGCACACTCCAGGCTCAACGTGTGAGCTGTCAAGTTTAAATTTGTGAGTTAGACACACACCGCACTACTTTTAGAGTTCTTCCTAAAGAATCAAAACCATGAATGTTAATCTCCAAATGACAAGGGCTTCCTCCAAAGAGGAACTAAAAATCCTTTACCTCACATTCTTATACCTCTCAGTGCCACTGAGTCCTGATTGTAGCAAGACTGTCCTTGGGAGAAGATTTCAATGGGGTATCCTTTACCAGTTCAGGCCCCTGCTTTCCTCGTACAGTCCTAATATTATAAGACTTAGTCATAGACCTTTAAGTGCTGAAAGGAACTCTGAAGAGCAAGATACGATAAAGAGAAACTCCTTCTAGCTCTGTTCTCTACCACCACTAACATCAGTAAGCCACAGCAGAGACTTACGGCTGTAAATGGGGGCCTCTACAAAGGGGCCTAGGTGGCCTAATCAGACAGCTTTACTGGGTCACCTCTTAAATGCCTCGGCCTCAGCATTTTGAGCGCCATGGTTAAAAATGTACAGATTTGGAAATGATTTGATCTCTATACTCTTTTGTAATGTGTAATAATCAAACAAACAGTCCAATCCAGATAAAGAAATCATATAACTGTACAGGAAAATCATAAATAGCACATGTATTGATTTGGCACTAAAACCAAGGCTTCATGAGTCACTGATGACCACATGACTCTTCTAAGGAAGAAATGCCCCAATAGTGGTCATCTTGTACCCAACAAATTAAGAACCTTAGATACTTGGATACAAATTCCAATTATTTTAGAGTAGGACTCAACCATGAAACTATGAGGCTTTTAGGGGATTAACAGATGCTTCTGGGTGCTGGTGGATTGGGGCAACATCAGCACTAATGAGGTAGGAAATGCTAGATATGTTTTCAAACTAATCTCCAGGAGTCAATGACACACAGGTCCCAAGCTGCCTTCCCATTTTAGACTATGAACTGCTAGGAGCTAAGAGTGCAGTCTTCTGCTAGCATTAAACCTGTGATGGTGGCACAGACATATACTTGAAAAGAAGAGCAATTTAGTGATCAGAGAACAGTGTGCTTAGAGAATAGTGTGCTGAGTGAATCCTGGGATTTTTATTGCTTCAGTGCTGTTAGACACAAAGAAGGAAAAAGTAAATGAATCACTGCCTTGCCAATGGGAAAATCTTCCGGGTGCATCTAGTTCTGATTAAAACTATGCTAAGATAAAACAAGAATGTGGCTAAAACTTAACTGCCTAAATTATCAAAATATATTGTCCTCTGGAATGAAGATTACTTTATGTAACAGAAGTAACTACGGATGGTTTAACTTTCTTTCATTCCCAGTACAGGCAGTCCCTGACCTATAAGCAACTGACACACAGACAGCTACCGATCTGCCTGAAACTGGAGCCAGCCCCTCCTCTACAGGCTGACACTGCACCCCCTCCAGCCCTAACCCACTATGACTAGAGGAAGAAATAACACAAAGAGCATAAGGACAGGACTAGGGTGTGCCCAAGATGGGGGCTTCTGGGATCAAAACAAATTTGGAAATGTGATTTCTATATTCTTATAATGTGTAAACATCGAAACAGCCCAGTCCAGAGAAAGAAATGTATAACTATATAGCCAAGTCATAAATGGCACATGGATTCACCTAGTACTAAAGCCAAGTCTTCATGAGCCACCAATGACCGGGGAGTTTTCCTAGACGCAGGACTCTCAGTGCTAAAATGAGGGCAGCCCTGGGCAAAGCAGGATGAGCTGGTCACCCTAGACAGGACTGAAATAAAAAAACATGGCACCAGTCCTGGCTCCCTCCCGAGTAGTGGGGTAAGTCCTTGCCCTCTGTCAGCTTCAGTTTCTTCATTTGCAAAATGACATGCCCCACTGAGCTCTCTGATCAAATCTAAAGATATTTTGTAAACCACAACACAGAAAGAACTGCCCAGGACCCAAAACACTTGTTTCCCCTGGGCTTAGACAAGCTGGGGCCCAGGTTATCAGCAATTGGGCAGTTTTTGAGGTTAAACAAGCTCTTGCGGCCTGGCCTGCCAAGTCAAACCTCTAATAGAAAAAGCAGCATTCTCAAACCTCTAATAGAAAAAGAAGCATTCCAAACTCTAATCCCAATCCCTCTGTAAACAGGGAACTGTTTGAATCACAGCTCAAATTTTCAACACAAATCAATATACCCGAAGATTAATTCCAACAACCAAATGCCCCATTCTAAGCCCAAAGCAGTACTCACAGAAATGGAAGCAGTGGGATCCAACTGATACTTAGCGGCAATGCCAAAACGAGTGCAGTTGGTACCTGATGTCCAAGCCAGGTTTACTGAAGTGTCAAGATCTTCACATACTTTCTGATAAATTGACCCTCCAAATTCTGTCCCATCATTGCTGTAAGATATTTTAAATTAGTAAATGTGGACTAGACAATGTAATCAATTCTAAGGCATTAGGCTGATATTGCACATGTGCACTGAAATAAAAACCACTAATCACGTGGGTCTTTAGTGTTCCCCTGAAAGCTTGGAAGTTGTTCCCTCCATACATATATACAGAAAAGTGAAACATCGAAACATTAACAAAGATTACATAGCAGGTGGTAGGATTACAGGAAATTTTCGTCGTCTTTGTACTTTTCTGTATTTACCATGTGTTATTTTTGTAAAGAGAAAAACAATTTTTAGAGGTCCTTTATTTTACGTATGTATGTACGTACAAAAGGATCCCTGGCGGCACAGTGGTTAAGCGCTCAGCTGCTAACTGAAAGGTCTGTGGTTCAAACCACCAGCCACTCCACAGGAGAAAGATGGGGTGGTCTACCTCTGTAAAGATTTACAGCCTTGTAAACTCTATGGGGCAGTTCTACTCTGTCCTGTAGAGTCACTATGAGTTGGAACCGACTTGACAGCAGTGGGTTTGGTTTTTTTGGGGTGTGTGGGTGTGGGTGTGTGTGTGTGTGTGTTTATTATGTATATACATCTTTCTTTTTGGGTTAGGTAAGAATATATTTTGGGAAATCCTATCAAATATCAGCACCCCAAACATCACAGATAATTAAGTCAAATAAATGCAGAGGTAGCATTTGGCAACATCTTGGCCTCTTCTAAAAATCCAAAAACACATCAAGCCTCACATGAAGTGAACATTTGCTCTCTTAGCACCAAAAGTCAGAATAGCATTTTTTTACTAAACACTTTCCAAGGGTACACTAGAAATGTTTTGATGTTAAGAGAAATCCTTTGGGTTGTAACTAGATTAGTAAGAGATAATGAGACATCAAATACTATCCTGAGGTCCTATATCACAAAATCCTATGAAGGAATACTTACACATTAGTGTGTAGCTGGAAGTCCCCAGTCCTGTAGCCCACTGCAAAGTTATTCCTTGTCAGCTTTGATTTGGCACTGTCAAAGGTCATCTGGTAACCAGCAAGCCAGCCCTCATAACCAAAGACAGCTGAACCATGGATTGCAGGTCCAGCAAAATCAAAGTCAACATCACAGCCAAGGTTTATACACTCCCTCTTATAGGAAGACTTGATTTTACCACTTTTCTTTCTGGAAAAGAACAAAATGCCTTAAAACTGATGTCAGTGGGAAAGATTTACATGCACAACTTCTGCATAGCAGGCACAAAACAGATGTAAATGAATACAGTACAACTGGGAGGAAAAGCAGCAGCAGCACAATCACAGGGGAAAAACAGCTCAATGAACTAAAAGACAAGGGAACGTGGGGTAACTGAACTGCTACCATCATAGGACGGCTGCTTTGCAGAACGGACAATCAGTCACAAAAAAAGTCCCTTAGAAATAGGTTCATTACTCAGGTTAGTGCCACAATGAAGAGACCAATATTTGAAAGCAAGCCAACAATATCAACCGTAGTACTCCGAAGGTGGAAACAGAGACTTGCCACCAGAAGGCAGCTGAATAAGCTACTGAATAATAAATGTGCATCTTTCCTAAACATACGGACACAAATGCTTTAAATGTAAAGCACAAAAATGTACCCGCTTACCCTGTGTTTGGTGAGAAGGTGGTATCAAATGTCAGTTTCAAACCTTGACAAATCTATTTTGTAAGAAAAAGATTTGTTTTCAGCTTTCTTTCCTTTTTGATATACAACAATGAAACAATTTAAAAACGAATGCACCTTTTCACAGTGTTACCTGGTCTTCGATTGCGATTTCTGTTCCCAGAGTGTTATCAGTGTTCCATTTTTCTGTGAAAGTCAGACCATACTCACACCATTTATATTTGGTCTCCAAGGTCCCAGTAACTTTACCAGTGTCTGTATTAGATGAACCAGATGTTGAGAATTCCTAACAAGACAATAATTAACTTCATGAAATTTCTCCTAAGCCTAGAAGAATCCACTGCCTAACTTAAAAACAACCAACCACCCCCATGAAATATTTGGTCGTTTCACTAATCTCCTTTTCCTGTTTCCTAAATATTCCTCCGCCTGCTACTGCTACTCTCCAAGCATATATGAGAAAGTAACAAATTAGCCTTCAAGGAACTGACTGCCATCTACGGACAGCTGACATTTCCATCCAATCAATCATGTTAACCTGTAGCTAACTGCCAAATGAACAAACTGCACACCTTTTCTAATCCCTAACAATATCAATTGCTACTACCTGTAAAGGAAACATCCGCTAAGGCAATTTCATTTGGCATTCAAAAATCAATGGGAAAGAAAAAAGATGTTCTGGCATAGAGTCCAATCTACCTGATAATGAATAAAACACTAAATAAGTCACTATGGTTAATCACAGATACCACCATTCAAAATCAGAATCTGTAACTGATACTGTATTATGAAAAATTACCTGAAAATTCTTAAAGAGAAAGCACCACACAGTAATAACCTAGGCCATGAACAAGATTTTTTTTAAAAATTGTTGGTAATCCTAATACTCTGCTTTTGAGATAAAATAGTCTTTATCAGCTTTCGTTTCATACAAAAAGTTGCGGGAGGGATTTACATATTTACTCTATACCTGGGTTTTATCAAGCATAACATAAAACTATATTATATATAATAGATATCAGTAGGAAAAAATTTCATACAGGGATATGAAGCACTTTACATAACCTTATGTTTGTAGCAAATATAAATGATCTGCAATCCCTAATTGCGTACTAACTAAAAGCACGGGATGACAAGGGGAGGGCTTATCTGAAATTTGAAGTTTGCTTATAATAATCCAAAAATCTAATAATCTTGTCTTACAGAGTTCAGTATAGAGGCACGCAACTGAAATCTTCCAAGGTAAGTACTCAAAACCCTTCTGAAGAGTTCTGATTCAGTTTGTCTGCTAACAATGGCTATGCTCTGGCCACTGGAAAGCCAAGTCTAAAGAAAACAGCTAATTTGAAATAGTAAATACAGGCGGGAACTTCGACCATGAATTGTCATACCTACAAGGTGAGGAAAAATAAACTATCAATAGGGAAAAAACCAATTTGCTTAGAAAATAGAGCATCTGTAGAACTGCTGCTCTGCAGTTAAACAGATTCAAATCCTTAGGTCCTATATATAACCTCCTGAAATTAGATGATTTCATTAATAGGAATTTCAAGTCAATGCTGGGCACTCAGTACACATATTAAAAGGCACTGGGTTATGTTAGGAAACCCTGGTGGCGTAGTGGTTAAGTGCTACGGCTGCTAACAAAAAGGTCAGCAGTTCAAATCCACCAGGTGTTTCTTGGAAACGCTATGGGGCAGTTCTACCCTGTTCTATAGGGTCACTATGAGTCAGAATCAACTCATCGGCACAGGTTTACAGGGTTATGTTAGGAAAGAATACTGGACATAAAATTAGGAGTCCAACTGTGATTCTGTCATTTACTACATGAATGACACTGAGGAAGACAGTTAACTTTTCTGAGTCTCGATTTCTTGAGCTGCAATTATGAAGCCTACCACTCGTAGATTAAATTGGACTACACCAAAGGAAAGGCATCATTAAAACAATATATAGGGAGCATGTTCTTCTATTAGACACTCTGAATGGCAAAGGTCTATGAGCAGCTATTTTAAATCCTGAGTGACACTGATTAATGACTCTTGAGGCCCCACCCACTGCCATCCATCAGCCCACAGACCAACAGTCAGCCTATGCACATGCCAAGGAACTCTCAAAACACAAAGCCAAGAAGATCATACTGTGGGACCAGAACTGAGCCAGTGGACACCACTGGTTGAGCTTACATTCTTCCCTCTATCACCAGACATTCTGATTTCCAACATACATTCTGGAGGATGTAGACATCTCTGCAGTTCAGGTGAGAACAGACGCCGGAATCAATGGGACTTACTCGGGAGCAGGTACATATAATAGGTCAGCACCAGGCTTGTTGAATTAAACAAATTAAATGGACACAAAAACATACTACATCTAACCCAGCTCATCCTATACATTCCTCATTATCTTAAACCTACTTCCATAAAACTTACCCTAACTACCCCTGCCCACATAAGCCTTTCCTTCCAAACAATCTAGTATGTGACATGCTTCTGATTGTTCCCTAGAAAGCAAGCTTTTTAAACACAAGAATTGTCTTCTTGTTTTTTTTTTCAAGGACTTTTGTGTTCCAACAAATACTCAGCAAACGTTTATAAGGAACCTCAACATATTAAGAGTGGGTACACAAAAAAACAAATAGCAAATCACTGCTCTGTAACCTATTATCTTAAGTCAGTCATCCAGGCTTTCTTTCAAACCAAAGAAACCTAATGGCAGATATGACCAATATAAAATCCCAGTCACCCAACAAGTCTAGGTATTAAGAAACTACAACATAACGAATTTAGTTAATACCAATTACATACACTAAAGAAGTTAACGACTACAGCAGGCATTTGTAAAAATAACCAATCATATTCTATATGCACAAACCCTACCCACCCACCCCATCCAAAATAATCACAAAACAAAAATTTTTAAGTAGAAAAAATTTCACAAAATTAAATTTTACTTCACCCTCTTTGTAGAAGTTTCTTAGAAAGGTTCAAGAAACCCAAATACCAAAATATTAATCTCTTAAAATATTCAAAACAGAATTACTTACATTAACAAATACATGAGAAATTTTCCCCATGGAGGACTGTTAGAATATGGCCATTTTATAAATGATTAGTACACTTGAGAAGTTACTGAAACTGTTAAGCCCAGAATTCTAACAGGCTTGAGAAAAGAGGGTTATAAAAAAGTGTGTAACAGGTTCTCTGCCTTCTAGCTTGTAATCTTACTAAGTAAACAAGAGTCTCACATGACTAGTGTCTTTCCTGGGTTCCTTATGCATACATAGTAAGTAATATGCGGCAAAAGACCACATGAAAGTCAAAACTCCTACACGCCAAAATAAATCATGCTACATTTAGCCCCCTTCAAACAAAATTAACTATTTCTTCCTCTTGAAGGTAAAACTAAGACTACTTTATAGGTTGAAAAATTACATAAAGGCACAGCAGAACTTATGAGATCTCTAATACTCACCACTCCACTGCATGACTTTGTTTTTACATCCAGTTTCACCAACCCAAAACCTTCAACAAGTAGAGAATAAAAGATAACAAAATGATTCTTTTGTATAAAAGACGCAAACCAACAGTTGAGTATACACATATAGAAAAAAGATTCCACATATTCAGAAAGAAATAAAAATGTACGTATATACAAAATACATAAATGGAAACACTGAGGATCTGTGCTCTATAAACTGAGTTGTAAAGGGCAGATCATCTATGCAGCTTTGCCTTGTGTTTTGGTGTACAGTTGGCAACAACAACAAAGTGCTTTCAAACCATTTTTAAACCTAAATATCAGATCAGAAAATCAGTTCAAGTGAAATCTCAGAATAGTTAATAGTTTATTATAATATAGACATTTAGGACATTTACTCCAAAGGAATATCTCCAATAATCTGAAGAGGGGCCAAGGATTATGTAGAACAAAATTTTCAAGAAGAAAAACCCAAGTTCACTTGAAAAGCCCCTTAACTTTTTGAAGGGTAATACGTAACTCTAGTCAACCAACGCTTAAGTTATAACTGGAGAAAATAAAAGCAAATTTTTTCCCTTTAAAAGAATTCTTGAACTACAGTTTGAAAAAATGTGGAAAGCTGAGATAGAGGAGGATGGAGATAGTTACACTAATTTAACAGAAATCTAGAGTGTCTCTAACAGAAGAATACAACAAGATATTTAGTATGGTGAGATTATTAATTTAATTTCCCTAGGTGATCCAAACATACATTTTCACTTTTTTTTTTTTTTTAAAGTTCTTACCAAATCCTTTGTTGAAAATATCTCTGGCAGCTTTGCCAAGGTCAGCATATGATGGAGGAATGCACATTGCTGGTAGGAAGAAATATTCCAGTGTTAATGTTCTTGTTCCCTTACCTTCTGTTCAAGAACATGACGAACTGGTGATCTTTAAATTTAAGCAGTTCAACTAGTTGGAATTGTGTTTTGGATGCCACCAGGAGCTACTGTACTCTAAAGATCCAGAAAACATATTACTATCAAAAGCTTATTTCTAAAATGGACAACCACAGTAAGTGGCTATAGGAAGCTGGGAAATTCTCTCCAAAATAGAAAAACAAACTTTCTATGCCTAAATTTACAGTGCCTATAGCCTCACTTCCAAGGACTGGACTAGTACAATCAAACAGAAATGCATCTACCAAAAATCACTGGGATGGGATAATTTAACCAAATGAGATTAAAACCAAAACTAGGCCCTCTCTCGAAATATCCCTTAATATTCTTACTGAGGTCAAAACCAACATTCTGGAGTGGGAAAAAAAGGGAACTTAACGAGAGGCACTTAAATACTAGAGTTTACAAAAAACATGGCCATCTATGTTTCACTCAAGTGTCTACATCAACTATCAAATGGCACTTTAAACACAATGATGACACTCAAGTACTCAGCTAATGCAGTGCGGCTTAAGGGAAAGCAATCAGAGCTCCTCACGCCGCTCATTCATTCTACAAAGCACGTCCACGCCCTTAAGAGCACAAGTAATGACCTTGCGCTCTCATGAGAGGGACTACTACTTCCTCTAGAAAACGGATCGATTCCTTCAAAGGCAGAATCTAACGATTTATAATGTTATGCTTTTGAATTCGTCAAACACACATCCAAAAACTGAAGGTGAATGCAGGCACAGCCCAACTCCCCGGGCCCCTCCATCCAGAAATCCAGTAGCCCAGCCGCTTCTCCGCAGAACCAGAGTAGTCAGACAGTGCACTGGCTACCAAAAAGGGCTGCATTTCCAAGTCCTTGGAGAGATGGGAAAGGGGTTTGCAGTATTTTGTGAGATACGCTCCGACTCCCCGGACACCCCCGACCCATGCGGCAGAGATCAGTGCTCTACTTACGCCGCACGCAGCTCTGCCCGGAGGTCGCCATGGCGAGGCCGCGGGTGATCTGCGGGAGGGACAAGAAGTGCGGTCAGCTGGGGTTAGAAGTGGGTCAAGGGGTCAGGAGGGGGGGTCCCAGACAAGAGGAGCAAGGAGCCGCAGGACAGCGCGGCCATCTTAGGGAGCCAAGGCCGACCCCGAGTCCGCCTCAGTCCTCCTGCTTGTCCGCCGTGGCCTAGGCCCCCGGGTCGGTCTAAGGCAGGTGTGTCGGTACCTGATGTTCTCCTGAAGGGGCCGCCGCGCCGCTCGGTTCGCAGCTGAGGCCGCTAGACTTGCTTAAAGTCGGGCTGCAGCTGCCGTGGCTGGAGGGCGAAGTGAAGGAGACACCGTTCCGCCCGCCGCAACCCTGTCCTACCCCCACCAGGACCCCGCCGCTGCCCCCGGGGCTGTCTACTGCGCCTGTCCCCGCCGCGCCGCCCGCCGCCCACTCCAACCTGCTCCGCAGCGTCCTCGTGGACCGAGGGTACCCCCGCCCCCCGGGTAGGATGCCTCTGTCCGTCTGCGGGGGCTGGGAAGACAGACGCTGCCGGGCCTCCGGTCAGGCAGCGACAAGGGCAGCCCCAGAGGCGAGGGGGCGGGGAACGGCGGAAGTCGCGCGGCGGGGACCGCGCCGGTGGGGGGAGGGGGCGGAGGTCCCGCGTAGGCTCCTCACGGGCGGGGCGGGGTGGGGCTCAGGCGTGTCTCCGGGCGGGGTCCGGCGCGATGGGATGGGGCGGTGCACCCCCAGGGGTCACGTACATCACGCAAACTCCCTCTCTCGGTGGTACACGTATGCAACCGAAACTCTCCCCCGTGTAGGGCGCCAGGAGAATCAGTGAGCGTTACCCCCGTCTACCCTGAGGAAGTGCAGGGTGCACTTCTGAAAGACCATCTCTCTCTCTAGGCCCAGGGAGAAACGAGCGAGGCACAGGGCCGCTACCTCCAGCGCTTCGCGCCTCCCTTCCTTAAACCGCCTCGCACACGGGTGTAATCGCCATTCTGAACTGGACTGCGCTTTAGAAGCTCTCTTGGCTGCCCCTCCCTGAGCAAAGTTAAGCACGTCTAAAGGTGCTCCGCGTTAGGGTTTCTCTTTTGCCGACTCCTCCCTACTCAGGAATGGGGCTGCTTCACACAAGCACCGAACTGTAGCTGTCTTGGAGAGACAGTCCTGCTCAGGGCCCAGCCTCCTCTGGATGAGACCAAAAACCAAAACAAACCCTGTTGTCAATGGAGTCGGCTCACGGCCACCCCATGTGTTACAGAGTAGAACTGCTCCACAGAGTTTTCTTGGCTGTTACCTTTGCATAAGCAGATTGGCCTGTCTTCCACTGGGTGGATTCCAGCCGCCAACCTTTAGGTTAGTAGTCAAGCACAAACGTTCGTGTAATCTAGGGACCTTCTGGATGAGACAGGCCTGGAGAAACTTAAGGAATCGTGCTGATCAGGCATTAGGATATTGCACTCAAGTTCTCAAGGTGTGCAGGAAGAGTGGGGGAACCAAGGCAACAAGAAAAAATGAGCAATCTAATGAGACAGAAATGGGCAATTTGGGCTCTGGAATCAATAGCCTACCTCATAATTTAGCCCCTTTGTATCTCAGCTTCTTCATCAATAAAACGATGTTTAAATGAAATGAAGGGATCTTCTATAATGGCCATTCAGCCAGAGACTATGAGCAAAGCTTATTTTCCCCCTATGTCCTCTGGTTCTGAAAGGCACCTCTACTCAAATGCTGTCAAGATTCCCCCCTCCTCCTAAACAAAAAAAGGATACTAGATGGGCTGCTGAAATCCAAAACCCAGATCAAAGCTGCAGCCTGATGGATTTCCCTCCCCCAAGCAAACGCAGCCATCAGTCTTGCCATCCTTCGAGGCTTAAAATGAGCCATCCCAGAGGCAGACAGAGGGGACCTTACCACCACTGGGAAGAGATGGGAGCAGAACACATCCTTTGGACCCAGGATCCCTGCTCTGGGAACCTCCTGGACCCAGGAGACGAGGGAGCTGTGACACGGAAGACAGCAAGAGATGGTGACACAGCAGTATCAAGAGGGAGAAGCAGCAGCAGCAGAGGCCTCAGAATCAGAAGACCAGTAGGAAATGGTACGGTGGTCTTCCCAGCCCACAGGGCAAAAGAGCTGAGCGCCTTTAGGCTGAGGCTTCCTGGTGGAGTGAGGTGCCCCCAGGCACTTATCAGTGGAGCTGAAGAGTTTTGTAACACTTGCCCCAGCAGAGCAGAGGCCAGGCTGAGGAGCTGAGGGCCAGAGAGAGGCCTCCCTGTGGGCACGGCTAAGAGGCTGTCCCGATCAAAGAACTGTATCCTGAGTATTTCCTGAACTGAATTGTAACCTGTTACTGCCCTAATAAACCCCATAATCGTGACTATGGTCTGTGAGTTATGTGTAGCCATTGCAACAAATTATCGAACCCACTCTAGCTGTGGGAGGAATGGATGGTGTCAGAATTGGTAAAAAGAGAGGAGGTATTTCTGACTTCCTCCTCATAGGAATCAGCCTTGGGCTGTTGATCTTGATTCTCCTTCCCCCCTGTGAAGTTAGAGGAGGTCAGATGCTTCAGCCATGCCATTTTTATACCCAGAAAACTTCACTCTGTCACAAAACACAGCCTGAGGCTTCACCCTCTGCAAACGCAAGAAATTCACATAGTATCTAATAATCAGGAGAAAGAGATCTGCAGCTGAACAGGGAACCATGACAACTTATTCCAAGGTTAGATTCAGTAAATATATCTGAGTGCTTACTTCCAAGGCTCTGTACATCAAAGACAAAGACCTTCAATGAAATGGATTGACAGAGTGGCTGCAACAGTGGGCTCAAACATAGCCATGATTGTGAGGATGGGGCAGGACCAGGCAGTGTTTTGTTCTGTTATACATAGGGTCGCTGTGCATCAGAACCTACTCGATGGCACCTAACAACAACGACGTACATCAAAGCAGTATTAGCAGCAGCCACCACTTACACAGCAACTACCTTGTATCACTCACAGGGGAAGCAAAGTCCAATGAGACACACTTCCTACCCTCAAGGCACTTACAGTCAAATGTGTGTAGGAGTGTCAAGAACTGTGAAGGGTCTGACATTTCACCCTACTTCCTATGAGTTGGAATTCATTTGATGGCAATGGGTTTGGTTTTTCTGGTGCAAGCTAACCAGCTACCCTCCCATTGTTTCTTAGGGGCTGGCAGAAGATAATGACACTTGTGAGTCAGAGACAAAGGACTTTATTACTCAACGGCACAGTAGGCAGCATAAGTGTCATGTTCATATCAGCTCGCTTTGCCCACAGGAGTGATGCAGAACAGCCCAGGTAGATTCTGCACATACCATGAGTTTGTATCACAGCTGAGGAAACCTGAACTTAGAAGAGCCCCTTTTCTTACAAGAAGCTGCTAGCAAACATGCCCAACCTTTGCCCCAGTGGGAGACTGCTCAGAAAACAAAATCTGCCATCTGTCCCAGAGGAAGAACTACCCCTGTCTCCCAAGTCTGCTTGCTATGCAGATATCTTCAAAAAGATAGCCTGAGGCAAAAGTTGTCAAGAGATGTGTAGAAATGCCATGGAGAATTGTCCCCCAACAAGGGATGGAAAATGGGAAAGAGAAGTTTAGGAGCTGCAAGTATAATGGTAAGTTGTAAGCTCAGAGAACTGTGGGCATAGTCAGAGAAGACACTTGCACTAAATTTTGACTTATCAAAACTAAAAAGCTAGAATGTAACCAATGTCACTGAACAATCTGTGCAGAAATTGTTGAATGGGAACCTAAACTGCTATGTAAACCTTCACCAAAAACACAATAAAGTGTTTAAACAAACAAAAACTAAAAAGCTGACAAGGAGTAGATAGGAAGGCAAAATTCTAGAAAGAGACATGTGCAGAGCCTTAGAGGGGCTTGTGGCAAGAATTGTTTGAGAAGCACAAATAATTAAGTAAAGCTGGAATAATCTGGGGGAAATGTGAGAGATTAGACTGAAGAAATTGGCTGGAGCCCAGTTCTGAGGGTTGTGAAAGCAGTGAGTGAGGAGTCGAGGGTGGCTGAAGCACCATTTCTAACTTGAACAACTGGGAAGAAAAAGGTTCCGTTTACTATGGAAGGACTACAGAAAAAGGGGCAGGTTCAGGGGGAAGACGAGGAGTCGATTTCAGGTAAATTGAGTATGAGGAGCCAGAGGCCACATCTCACTGGAGTTTCTCTGGTATGCAGTTATGAATCCTAGGAGGAAGGTCTGGTAGAAGGAATTGGCATGAAAAGTTTAGTTAAATTATGAGAAACCACAGGTGTAATTAAGGTCAATGAGAGATGGGATAGGAAAAAAGACAGTAGAAGCCTAAGGACAAAGCCATGGACACCTTGGTGTTTCAGGGGCGAGCAGCAGAGGAGGAACTCGTGAAGAAAACACTAGGATGCTGAAAGAAAACTCAGGAGGGAGTACTTTCAAGCCAAAGGAGGAGAGTATTGGGTGGAGGACAGAGTTCTCAGCAGTGTCACATACTGAGAAGTCAAATGAGGTAAAGACAGAATTTTAGTCATCTATTACTATGTAAAACATTGCCTTGAAATTTAATAGCTTTAAACAGGGAACATTTATATCCGACTGTGAGGTCGGAAATCAGGAAATGACTAGCTGGCTCAGGGCCTCTTACGAGGTTGCAGTCAAAATGTTGGCTGGTACTGCAGTCATGTAAAGGGTTGACTGGGGCTGAAGGGTCCACTTCCAAGATGGCTCCCTCATATGGCTGCTGGCAAAAGGCCTCAGTTCCCTGCCTCAGTGAGCCTCTCCATAGGGCTGCTTGAGCGTCCTCACACCATGGGAGCTGACTTCCCCCAGAGCAGGTATTTCAAGAGAGACAGAGACTGAAGCTACAGTGTCTTATATGATCTAGCCTCTGGAATCACACACTGTCACTTTTTTTTTTTTTTTTTTTTTGCTTTCATTTTCTTTTTTCATTGCTCTTTAGGTGAAAGATTACAGAGCAAATTAGTTTCTCATTAAATAATACACAAATTGTTTCATGACATTGGTCACCAACCCCACAATGTGTCAACACTCTCCCCTTCTCCACCCCAGGTTTCCTGTTTCCATTTGTCCAGTTTTCCTGTCCCTTCTTGCCTTCTCGTCTTTGCTTTTGGGCTGGTGTGCCCATTTGGTCTCATGTACATGATTGAACTACGAAGCACATTGCTCATGTGTGTTATTGTTTGCCCAGTGACCTGTCTAATCTCTGGCTGAAGGGTGAACCTGGGGAGTGACATCAGTACTGAGTTAAAAGGATGTCCGGTGGCCATACTCTTGGGGTTCCTCCAGTCTCTCTCTCTCTCTTTTTTATTTTTTTGTGAATTTGAA